AAGAAGACCAGAAGGAGAAGTTGGAGGGAGATGCAGCTTTAAACAAGTTATTTCAGCACATCTATCCAGATGGCTCTGATGAAGCCAAACGTGCCATGAACAAATCGTTTAGGGAATCTGGTGGTACAGTTTTGAGTACCAACTGGTCTGATGTAGGTAAAAGGAAAGCTGAAATCACCCTCCTGATGATATGGAATGGAAAAAATACTAAATAAATTAATTTGCTGTCACCGTATTGCAAAAAAAAAAAAAAATAGTATTAGCTAAATATCTTTAATTGTAATGCACATTTATACAAAACAGCCAACAACCATCAGGATCCACTTTGTGTCTATATGGGTTTAGGACACGACCTCGACCTCTGTCCCCCTCCACGCAATTAGTAAGGGGGCATCAGGAAGCTTCTGGATGTTCATGCCCCAGAGAGCTATGAAAAGCGCTGCTGGGAGCTTCGTGGGCGCTGAAGCAGGGCCTGGAAGCGGCGGGAGCGCGCTCCATAAGCATGGGTCATTTTGCAGCGTCAAAGGATTATGGAAGAAGTGCCTTTGAAGATGACAACACAGGTCCACTTTTACTGTGTAGACTTCTTCTCACTGAAAAGCATTTAGGGAATTTTTTAAAAATTATTTTCTCAGAGAAAATGATTATGGGGCAGACTGTGGAAAAGTTAAGCTCCTTGCTGTTTTTATTGCAGTTCTGCTGCAGAATGCTTTCTCCTTTCTTTCAGTCTGAGTAAGGATCTTGCTCCTTCAAGGTACGCAGCGCAGGGCCAGGGAAAGTGCCACACCCGGGCAGGCGCTAGATAGATGTTTGCAGTTACTGACAAACAGATTAGAGACGCACTTGTCAAGGATTATTCCAAGTGTAACCTTTCTAGAAGGTAATAACTCTGGGAATATTTTTCTAAGATTCTCAGCCTGTACTGAGAAATCCTCTGGGTGACCAGGAGATGGCCACCATGAACATTGTAAACATGGAGACATTTACGGTGCTTATGACAGTCCTATTTGTTTGCAGGACATTATCAAATGCAGAAGTATTCTCTGAGGTATTGTCATGCATTCACTGCAAAAATGCAGTACTTACACAGGCATTGTGATGAACTTACTGATTTTCTGGACAGTGTCAAAAATGAACCTTAATATAGTTTAAGAACAAATCGTTTGGGCTGTAATGGAGCCACACTAGCATTCAGATTTTATCAAGATTCTTTGCCATGAACTGGAGTTAGGTAGCTAATGGCACATTAAAGAGTTAAAAATATAAAAGCCAGCTAACCACGGGTAACGGGCAAGATGAGGTCATTTTCCCTTCAGTGCCAGATGGGTACTGCAGGTGGGGACCTTAACACGTGGTCTCTGCCCTGTGACTCAGGAAAAAAGGCATTACTGTTGACATTTAACTTTAAAATATTTTGTAGGAAAATCATTTTGATGTTGTCACTTATGTTTTAAAGTGAAACATGGCATCATGATATCATTCTGTGTAGTAGCCAAGATAAAAACTCTTGCTCTAAAATAGAAAGTAATATAAAAATTCCTCTCTGCATCTAAAGTAGGAGGGAACAAGTTTTTCTGAGCTAGTCATTTTCTGTGGACTGTGTTGTTTTAGTGGTCCATTTTGGGTATGGGATGTACTGTTATCTCAACACTTTCATATTTGAGAAAATAGTTTTTAATGTCTTAAACCTTTCTGTGTGTCACGATGTGCTTTCTAGGGTTCGCCTTCACGTACATTTACGTTTCTGAGCAGCAGCGTTGTGCATACTTTACATAGAAGCCTCAGGCGCCAGGCACTCCTCCTGACACTCGGCACGTCTACAGAGAAAGCAGTTTCGTTTCAGCGTGTGTTCCTGTTGTGGATCTGAATGGCCTCTGCAGGCTGACAGCGCACTGATCCAACCTACCAAGGAAAACTGACAGTCGCCTACTTTGAAGATCAGTGTTTACACAGACTGCTGTTTGGCGGCAGGCAGAATCCTCTGCTTTGCAGTTGCCTGGAATATCAAGAGGGTGATCTGGTGCTGTCACTGGAAGAATACTACTCATTAAGCTCTTTCTTAATATATAATATATAATATGAAAGAGTACTAGCATTTTCACTTTATGGGTGATGATACCAAGGTTCCAAAAGATTAATTAACCTTCTCAAGTTCCCAGGGTTGCTGGGTCTAGAATGAAACAAGTGTCTGCCCGATTCTTCTACCACTTGAGTAGTCACCGGCCAAGGGCTGCCTGTGTGTGTTGACCTAGGTGGGGAGACACATGAGAAACACACCGTCCCCATGCTCAGGTTTCCAACAGTCCAAATGGATAGGCGCAAAGCTTGTATGCTTTCTCCTCACAAAGTTGTGTGCTTTCTCCCACAGTAGCCTACGGATCCATAGATTGTACAGTCAGCTCTCAAGCTTGTGGAGTGGTGGCAATTAGAAGATAGAAATGTGCTAAGGAAAACCACACTCTGAAGCATGTGCTTTAGCATCTAAGCCAAGTCCTTGGCATTTTCTTGCCTAACAGAATCATTGAGGAACACTGGGCCTTGATTTTCCTACATAAAAATAGTATTGATAATGTTCATTATTAAATATAAAAGCATGCAATAACTTACGAGAAATACAGTACATTACCATTAATTGCACTTATAAATCACTTAGCAATTTAAAAACTCTTCAGTGCATACCTTTACTTGCTCTTTATGACAACCCTCGTCAGACCTAATTCAGATCTTTGCTTCTTGGTGCTGGTAGGAAGTAGCTGTTTTCTTGTTTGTTTGACTGGTTGGTTTGTTTTTTAAGACAATATCTTGCTCTGCGGTTCAGGTAGCTTTGAATGCACCATGTAGCTCATGTTGGCCTCACACTCCTGATTCTTCCTACCTCAGCCTCCCATGTGCTAGAATGACAGGTGTGTGCCACCCCCCCAGCTCTTGTCTTTTTAATTTAAAAAATTAATAAATATTTATTGAACTGCTGCCATATTGCAATACACTCTGGTAAACCACTGTAGATAAAGTGATTTTAAAATCCACTCCTTTGCCCTCGGAGGAGCTTGATAGGATGACTGATGCAGAAGGATAACTTACAAGGGTGAGTCTTCTCACGCTTTGGGTGGGGCAGGGAAATGCGGGCCTGGGCTAAGCGTGGGCCTCACCAACCCAAGAATCCAGGTGATCTGCAATCTGATTTATCTCAGGATAAACCCTGAGGGCATTTCACTGACCTTCTCAGACCCAAAAGCTCTAATTCTTGTTACATAGGTCTTGCTTTACCTTGGTCTTAACCATCCAGCAGAGAAGTATAAAAACAAAGTATAAGAAGTAGAGCCATCTGTGAACTAAGCTACTGCACTGCAGATGGTAATTTGTAACAGTAGTTTCATGTTTGGAGTGCCTGTCATTCTGGTAGTCTGAATATGGGCAG